GAGTATGGGTCACCATACTTGGCCACATGTCACGTCACTTTTCACTTTTTCACTTTTCACTTTTCAATATTACAGCGAGAATAAAAGTTACTCCTTCTTTCTTTGTGTGAACATTTGGGCGGTGTTATGCAAATCTTCCCACATAGTGATGTAGGTATGTGGGGGCGTGTTAGAACGAGCCGTTTTAGGTAGGTATGGCTGACTCTTAACTTTTATAAAGAATATCTCTTTGGATTTGAGACTTTAGTCTTTGCAACTTTACAGATCTTCTTTATGCACCAAGAGCTTGTAACACTCCAGAGAGAAAGGAAAAATTTAAATCGCATCATATGACCCCTTTAAACTCAAATCTGAGGGTGGCAAACAAGTAATTTCTCTGTAGACAGTGTTTCAATAATTCTATCCACTAGATGGAGCTGCAAGCTTGAGGTTTATTCTGAAAGCTTCAGCTCAGCTGCCACTGTCAGTGTTCACTCGCTCCTAAAGTGTAGCTGCATTATAGGCAAATCTCGTCAAATTCTGTTACACTGATAAAACCTCATAATGAGTTCCTAATTCTGAATTAGTACTTGATATTTTCGTGTTCAAAGTGGGTCTCCCACACTACTCATTTCCAATGCCATTGCTAAATGGCCCAAGTTTAACAGGCTTTTGTGTTTTCTTGTGATGGTCATGTTGTCATTTTGCTGGCCACCATGAAGATGCAATAAAACTTTGTGTGCAATAAAACAGACTGCACTGATGTGAAGTGATGTGTCCTCTTATATTTCTGCATGTTATTTTTGCATTATTATTAGTATTATTGCAATGATTTTCTGTGAATGAATGAACAAATTCATTCATAAATCAAACCTGGCTCATTTTTATTCTCTGACATAGAGTCAAGCAAACTTGATTGTATAGACGAAAAGACTTTGAAAAAGTATAGTGTTTAACCCTAATATTAGTAGTTTCAGATCATTCATCTGCTCAAACCTTCTGCAGCTGCTATGACAAAAGCAGGTATGTTTGTGTCTTGGCCATAAACAGAAACGAGATCTAGTGAAAATAATAGCCAAAGTGAAAGAAAGTTCTAAGTTCATTTAAAAAAAAGTTTTGCGAGAGAATGCAAAGTTTCTCGGGGGAACACAAAAGCTTTGTGAGAAAACGCAAAAGATTTGAAAATATTTTTTCCTCCCACCCAGTATGTTTCCCACCAACATGTCCCTTTAGGGGTTCCGTAGTATACATAGAGTTAGGGTGAAATTAATTGCTTAACCCGTGATATAAGATTTTGGCCATATTTCCCATCTAAGCCATTCATCCCACTATTAACAGGCACGTCATGTAGGCTACGCTTGTTGTATTTCGTTTGGGCACAACAAAGTGTCACTGTGGCCTCAAAGCTTACAACTCACCTACTCTGGCTCAATTACTACTATTCCTGAGGTAAAACACGCCTTCCTCATTACCCTACGGACAAAGAAATGTATAAATAAATAAATGTATAAATAAATAAATATGGAAATAAATAAATATAGAAATAAATACGTAAATAAATACATAAATGTGGAAATAAATAAATGTAGAAATAAATAAAAGGAAAAAATG